TTGCCCGCACCGCCCGCACCGCAGGCGCTTAGCTAGTTATTATTATTATTATTATTATTATTATTATTATTATTATTATTATTATTCAGTTTCCTGGGTTCTTTCATTCTGCCCTTGTCTGAAAAAGAAAACTCCAATCGAAGTGGAGCTTTGAGCCTCTTCAACCGAAGCCGCTCCTGCTCACTGTGCAAACTCCGCCCGAAAGTGACAGACGACTCAGGGTTTTTCACGAGTTTAGTGATCTGAGCTTGACCATTGGGCTACGGGGTTACAAAGGGTGTAGTTCAATGGCATTCGTGGGACAAAAGCGAGGGGTTTGGGTAAACGCGTGTGTATGTCGGAGTGACTGCTGAAAAAAAAACAGGGACTCGGAAAAGGTTACTTATGCTGGGTTTTCGCTGCGGTTTAAACGTTACAAGACTTTTCTTTGAGTTAAATTGTAGATGTACCCCTAGGGTTGAAACCCAGCTTTACTTTTGACCCTGTACGTGTAGCAAATCTTCCTGCTGCCTCTGTGTCTCGACCTCTATTGCGGTATTCATCTCAGTACTTGAATCTTGGGTAAATACCCCATGTGCTCAGAGAAAATACCTGCATCTATCAGAAGTGATGTCATGCCTCTGCAAGTCAGTCTGTAGATAAGATCTTCAAAACCAGCCTACAAGTCTGGGTGTGATAAGCTATTTAGACCCTCCTCTCTGTTGGGTTGTTGAGGACCCCTTAAGCGGGCGCAGTGGGTGACAGACGTTGTTGCCCCGCGCTTCAGCGCATAATAGGCATCACCCTCCCTGGGTTTCCTCACACCGGGTCCATATGGTAGACTTGTGCATGACCCTGATAGAATATTACAGTATTTCCCAATCCAACAGTCATCCCCCTTTGAATGGTTGGATCGAGAGGGTCTATACCGAGTCAGGGTGCTGGAGGAAGGGGGGGAATGGGTGGTTTTCCAACCCTAAATAAGCATCCACAAGCTGGTCTTTGATCTGTTGGAATGGCGGTAAAAAACCCCTCGGAGACGTACCGGTCTGCCCCCACAACATATCACCCTGCATAGCCTGACAGTGAAATCCACATACCGAATGCTGAGACCCAAGCGCCATCTGAGAGATGCGATCATCGAACGATGGGCCAAGCATCTTAACGTGGACCGCCACTTGCTCACGCCGATTAAATGGTTTCAAGAGCAGAAGTCAAAACCGACTGAGATTACTTCGCTGCAATGGCAAATAACACACCGCTCTTTACCGACCAACGATTGGTTGATAGACCATACTAATCTAGAGCAAAAGGGTCTGGCATCACCCTGGTGCCAACACTGTCTCCGACATTTCCCACCCTGCAAGAAAGTTGAAACAATTGAGCACATTTTTATGCAATGCCCGATTGCACGTTTCACTTGGAGATGGTGGGACCGGGTATGGAGAAAAATGGGGATGAAAAGCCCCTGGCCCTGGTCTTGGCAGGCGATCTTGGTAGGTCATTGGCCAACTCGGGAGGAAACAGCCTTTGTGGACAACATGTACAAGCTGGGGAGACGAGCGGTGTTGTGGGCATTATGGTGGCAACGGTGCCTCCTGGCCATGGAACAGGTATGTGCGGAGCTTGCAGAGATCACTGAGCAGGTCAAGCAGCAGATACAGTTAGAAGTGACACGTAAATGGCTTTCTTTAAAAGCCCAACTGGATTTGTATCAACATGCAAGGGATGTGAAGAAAGCAATCACAAAGTTCTGTAAGGAATGGCTGGGAGGGGACAGGGGGGGATGGGTAGCAGAAGTAAAATGGAGTGGCCCAGGGGATAAACCGGATGGGACTCAAAATGTGGAGGGTATAAGGGATTACCGTTTGGTGTTCAAGGACTGGACTAACATCGAAGTTGATCGAGCCTTCGTTCCCACTTCGTCCCCCCACAGATTTTCCTGACCCCTTCCCTCCTCACGCCCGCTCCCTAACATAAATTCTTATTAATTTCCAGCAAAAAAGGATGAACATCTCCTGCATTCCGGATCAGAATCCGGTGTGGAGAAGGGCGGAGAGACACGTGGTCCCGCTGGTGCCCCCCAATGGCCCCACTGCGTCTCCACGCCAGGGACGCAAGAACGGTTTCCAGCCGTGGGAGATTGCTGCATCATAGATGCCCTTCATAACTGGAGTAGAGAAGATCGACATCAGCAGCGCCCTTCAACGCCCATCAGCAACCTTCAACAACCTGCTCAGTTAATCCTCTGAAATCCAGAGTAATCAATGCTGGCCGGCTTTTCCTAGATACTTTCCTTGCAAAGTTCTCTGCTTTTTTCTGATTCATTATGTACAAGGGACGCTGGACCCGTTTTCCAGTAGGTGATGTTCCCCACCAATAGATGGAGTCTCTCCCCAGGTGATAGCGGTGTCTGCTCTTATCAGCACCAATGGCACTAGAGGGAGTGTTTAAAAAAAAAAAAAAAAAAAAAAAAAAAGCGGTGAGAAATGGAGAATTTCGGTAACTGGGACTTCTCCCCTGGATCCATTGCTTCTGAACATGGAATGTTCCCTCTTTTTCTTTTCTTATGCCCTAATCCCCGATCGGCATCGAGCAGAGTCTGCAGATGTTCGAGGGGAGGGGACCCGAGGGCAGGCAAAGGGATTGGTCATGTTGGCATGGTCCCTGATGCTACCTGTTGTCCCTTGGCTGGTATCGTCCACCTGCAGCTCGGGTGCAAATTATGTGTTCTCTTGTCAACACAGTTGTGACTGCTACGGGGTTCCCAGTACAACTATAATTAGGAGTAGTGGTAGGTACGTAGTGTGAGGTGAAATTGAGAGAAGAATGTATCTTACTTTTAAAAAAACAAGTGGACGTGCCGCAGCGTGGCTGCGGCAGAGGAGAGGGACGAACAGGGGGGCGGGGCTGTTGTTGATACACTGCTCGGGTTTTTTATTATTATTATTTTTTTGGTCGTCATATTCGCTATACACTAAAAAAAAAAACATGATTGTGGCAGACTGTTTCCGAGTGATCAGGAGGTTGCGTGTGTGTGTGTGTG